AAGCCTCATCTTTCCTTCACCCCGCCGACGGCAGCTCTTTGCGTCATCTCTCAGTGCCAGGGCGACGAGCAGCATCCCGCCGGCCGGCTCCCGGGCATCACTGCAGAGTACAGGCTGTGCCGGGGGGGACGACAGAGGGCACTCACTCAGCTGCACGCACACACCATCACCCAGCCCGGGTGGGCTCCCGGGCACGGATGACGCCACGCCGGGGGAGAGGAGGGAGCGCGGGGTCGGGATTACCCACGGGCAGGAATATCCCCACGGCTGTGGCAGCCGTAGGGATATTCCCCGCTGCAGGACCGCAGCCACGAGGGGGAACGCTTCCCCAGGCCCTTTTCGCCAAGCCCCCTCCGAAGGGACGAGAGGGGACGGAGATGGGGACTCACTGCTCCGGACGGGCTCCGCCAGCGCCTCCTTGCCCATGGACTGCGCCTCCCGCATCTGCCAGGGGAGAAGAGTGTTTTCCAGCCTGTAAACGGCCCCCAATAGCGCTCCAGAGCCCCCCCCCCCCGTACCTTCATCTGATCTTTCAGGTACTCAGCTCGGGCCATCAGGGTCTGGATCTGGTGGAGAGAGAGGAAAGTCCCTTCAAAGCCACGCCAAGGGGGACAGGCCGCTGTCCCACGGCTGGCACTCACCTCCGCGTGGAGCAGCTCCCGCCGCCTCCCCGCAGGCTCCGCTGCAGAGGGAAGAGGGATGCGCCGTCAGATCAGCCGCGGGCGCGGGATCCGTCCCTGCCCCGCAGCACCCGCCACGGCCACAACTCACCGGCCAGGAGGAGCAGCAGGTCCCCCAGGCTCTGCTGGTAGAGCTTCAGGGTGTCACCGTCATCTTGGCCTTCCTCCTCCTGCAAGAGACCCCGGAGGTCGGGCTGCAGCCGGGGGGGGATACGCCGGCTCCCTCCCCACCCGGGTTTACTCCTTCCCCTTCCACTCGAGGGGAGCGGGGACCCCCCCAAAACAACTCACCGGCCAGGAGGAGCAGCAGGTCCCCCAGGCTCTGCTGGTAGAGCTTCAGGGTGTCACCGTCATCTTGGCCTTCCTCCTCCTGCAAGAGACCCCGGAGGTCGGGCTGCAGCCGGGGGGGGATACGCCGGCTCCCTCCCCACCCGGGTTTACTCCTTCCCCTTCCACTCGAGGGGAGCGGGGACCCCCCCAAATCCACGACTCACCTTAGCGATGGCGGCAAAAAAAAGCGCAGAGCCGAGGCTTGTCCTTGGCCATCTCTGCAAGAGGGGACGTTGAATTGGGGAGCGCCCCTGGGAGGCACCCTTCAGCCCGAAACCCCACCGGGTACCCCCTGCCTGCTCCGCCGATGCCGGGGGGCGAGGGGGGCGGGGGGAATCCCAAAACCTGCTACCTTTAAGGAGCTCTCTGGCCGGGTTCCCTTGCTGCAGGAGGCTCTTGCTGCTGGAGGTGACCAAGGCCTTCAGCTCCTCCGCTCGGGAGATGTACTGCCCCACCTGCCCACAGTGGAGGGTGGGGTGAGGGGACCCCCGCCACAGGGGACAGGGAATGGGGGGGGGCATCTTCCCGAGCTAAGCCGGGAGGATGCCGTCACCCACCTCCCCAGGGATTTTTGGCTCACCTTGGCCCGGATGGCTTCTTTCCGGCGAGCATCGCTTTCATCTGGGGGAGGGGGGGAAGAGCGACCGAACACCGGGGTGGGTGGGCTGCAAACTGGCCTCCCCCAGGGTGCTGCTCCCCCCAAAACGCACCCGGCACCGCCC